ATATGTGTGTGTATTTATATATGTATGTATGTATGTATGTATGTATGTATGTATGTATGTATGTGTGTGTGTGTATGTATGTGCGTCTAGAATGCATGTAAATGTGTATACAAGGGTGACCAGCCAAGTATAGTCCATCGGACCCTGGAGGTTAGGCACTGAGCCTATGTTGCTTGATTCCGACTGGAGTCAGTAGAGCCCCCTTGTACTGCTATCTGGGTAGGTGAAAGCATGAACGGAATATGAAGTGGCTATCGAGGTAGCTTTGATCTTGGACCTCTGATGAATTGCAATGAGTGTTCTTCTTCGCGGAAGCTCTGCGTGCAAATGTTGGAAACCAACCTCGAAAGGCAGCACAGCCTGGAAAGGCAATGATTTGGCGGTGAAAGGGTTTGAGGTAGTCGAGGCTCCATGTGTAACCGTTGATCAAATTGGAGTTTATGGTTCGAAGCTTGCTGCTTCATGCGCGGTCAAATAGGTTAACCTGAATTTCAGAGGATCTTGCAGGATGGATGGATGAACTGCAAGCGGTGGTGTAGGGCATAGGGAGTACTAGTCCTTCTATCGTCCAGGTGTGCCGGCAATTTCGCGATAAGCGGCGCCGGAGTGTGCTTTGTATTGCGAGCGGCTTCTTCTGCGGACAGGAAGATCGGAGCTACGGATCCTGTGCTGTGGGTGCTATTGGGATCAGGGCTAACTAAACCCTTAAAGCCTCACTTAATTTTCCAGAACCTCCCCTCCCTGCACCAGGTTTCGATCGTTGCTGGAGCTTTGTCTGTCTGTCCAGTCCCAGCAGAAGCCATCCTTGAAAGATACTAAAGATGCGAGCACGCTGGGGAGACAAGGTGGCCAAAACAAAGCAGCTCTCAAAAAAAGCATAAAAGAAGGATCTTAACTTGCTCTACGTCGAAGTGGTTCCTTTTGTTCTCACCACTAAACCTCAGTTCAGGCTCCCAGCCACCGCAGACCACTGCCACCCAAAAAACGACCACCATGAGAGCTTCAAGGTATATGATAGTATATTATAGTATCTGATAGTCTTTTAGAGAGTATTTTGATACATTATCTTATCGTATACTATAGTATATACAGGGGTGTAGCTGTGGGGCTTTAGTTCACGGACTCACGCAACCTGTGAACCCAAAGCAGTAAAGCCTGAAATCCATGGGCACCTTAAACTGCACTCTCGTTAGATCTTTAGAATTTTGGACCTGGGCTTCTAGATTTAAAATCTTAGGGTGTAGAGCTGCAGCGCGTCTTCCTTTATCTACTTGTATCTTACCATATCTGAGCTAATCGAAGGGCAATGGTTTACGGCTTTGCTTTCGGGCTTTGGCAAATTTAAAATTTGAAGCTGTTAGTGTTTTGTTTTCTCTGACTCTCTCTCTCTCTCTCTGCCGTGCATCCTCAAAGGTCTCGCTACGCAAGGGCACGTAACAGAGGTATGTCAACTTTGGGATGAATCTTCTCTGAATCCTTATCTCTGAATCGACAAAACAAGCCCTTAAGCCCCAAAATCCGATCTAAACCCGGAAGGCTTGATTCGATGCTGCGTGCAATCCTCTGCTCTATCTTGGGTTCAAAAGGATTCCCGAAGAGCAGTGTCTCTCCGGATGTAAACCGTCAACATTCCCTGAACTACACCCCCAGCCTTGCTAGTCAAACCCGAAGCCCTGTGCAAAGGTCCCACCCTTGGACCGTCACCAGAATGCCAAATCCTTTCTGCAACAAGCCTAAACCCCAAACCCTTCAAGTCCTAAAGCTCTTGTCCACCCCTGCAGCGACTGCTCGCTTGGAGTGATGAGTTGAGCAAATTTCAGCGGCTTCGACACAGATCCATACGAGGGCCACGTCAAACATCTGTACTAGAGCAAGTTAAGTCACTATATTATAGGGCCTGAAGGATTCGTGTATCGCTTTGGGGGGACATCTTGTAGCATACTGCAGCTAACACAGGCCCAAACGTGCCACATGATTACCAAGTATTCGACCATAAGAGCACCGAAAAATCGTGCACCCTCCAACGCGCCGCACTTGAAAACCTGCATCCCACGATGCTTATCCCGGTGTGGATGTTAATGAGCTAGCTAGAGACACTACACATTGCGACATCTCCTCCTAGAAGCCCATCAACAAGGAACCGATTCTTGAGAAGAACTCCCTGGTCGTGCTCGCGATGCGAGCCCGACAAGGAAACACAAGAGTACGAAGGAGCCAAGAGTGGAACTGTCATAAGGACGAAGCCAAACTGGGATACTTATACAAGCCCTGCAACCTACACTTCTTGCCTTTTCCATTGAGGGTTTCGGGCCCTTAGCGCTCAGGATTTTAGCTTCACCAACGGCGAAGAACCCAAGGGACCTCATGGGGATCCGTGGAGGCAGCTTTGCTGCAGTGCCGCGGGGCTTAAAAATCTTAGGGTGTAGGCTGCGGGTTTAGCGTTTGGGTTCAGGACTTCGGGGTTTGGGTTCTGGCCTGGTGGGCTATTTAGGATCGCGCTCTAGGGCTTTGGAATATGCTGGGTTGAGGGTCTGGGCACGGCAGGAAGAAGTGTGTGACACGGTGCTTCCAGCACCCGTCGTCCACACAAACTATCGTTCAAAGTAAGAGAAACCTGCAAATGCGGGCTAGCCCCCTTCTTCGTCATCCTTCATGACAGCCATGAACTCCTGGAAATCAATCGCTTGGTCACCATTCCTGAGACCAAGAGAGGCACTCAAATGTTTCAGAAGCTAATAAGTTACCGCAACCTACATCAAGAAACTGCATGATTCGTTTCCCAGGCCTCATAGAGGTGAAGCCATGAGGCTTGCAGCTTTAGAAGATCGGGTTTCTATCAGGGTTTTGGGTGGCTGTATATAGACCTCCTTAGTAATACTGGTGAGGTGTATGTTTAGGGTGTCCCTACAATCACCACCTTAAGTCGCATGGCTTTCAAACGGAACTAGCGGTTGACAAACTCAAAATACTTTGCAAGAACGTCACCCAGTCAGGCAAAAAGGGCAAACCATTCCATGGTTGACTTGCAGTCCATGAACATGGCCGGAACAAACACGCGCTTGCGTTTCTTGGAGCCTGGACACGCTAAATCTTGAATCCCTCAGTCGAAACCACCATAAACAGCAGCAATGACAGCAATGAGCAGCCCAGCTTCTTGTCCAGCTGCTTCAGGGTCTCGCTTATCTCCTCCACTGTAAGAGCGCCAAGCAGGCGCCCGGAAGTGAGTTCAGCCATGCTGATCGTGCCTCGGAAATTGCAACCCGAAGACCCGCACCTGGCTCTCGGCCAAGCTTAATGCGGCACAAAATCAAAGGGAGTCACCCCTCGATCTGCTGTGATCGAAGGTCAACACTGAGCAACCATGCCAGCAAGACAGCCTAACAGCCGGCAGCCCTCACCTCCTTTTGAGTCCAGGCCTGTTCAAACTGCTGAGGGCTCAACCGACCCTTTTCGTTCTCAACTCCCACACCCCCACACTGAGGCACGGGACCATCACTATTCCTGTCAAAGGCCGCGAATGCAGTTTTGCATACCGCCGTTGTCAGGCTCTGCTTCCTGTCAAAGGTCGCCTCAACGAAGGGTTTCAGGGCTTCTTTGGGTGCAGAGCTCTGGCTTTTGAGCCAAAAGGGTTCTGGGCCTTAGGGTTCTAGGGTTCAGAGCTTGCTGAGGGCATCGACCCTGCTTGGGCGCTCTACATCTGAGAATCGAAGATCCTGTCGCTGACCCCCAAAGCTCAAGCCTGAGTTCTTGGACGCCGAGAGCCCTGAAACCTGTTACGCACAGGCTTTAGCGCCAAAAACCTCAACATCTGTAGACCATGCCCGAAACCGTGGAGCCTATGCGTATACGTTCTTCCGAATCATGTGAACCCTAAGCCCTAGACCCTGCTTCTACTTAGAGCCCGGATCCTTGAAACGCACATCCTACAATCCTGCCCTAGGACTCCAGGGCCCAGAAGAACACCCAATGGCCCCAGTTCTTGACGTGTCGGCAAAGATGCCGCCAGGAACTCCGTGTACGCGAAGGGCTTGTAGGTATTGTCCGCCTGAAGAGGCGTGCCAGCAATTAGGACGGGTCTGTGGGAAACAGCAAACAAACTTGCCCCATGTACCCCGGGTGGCGTAAAGCCGTAAAGCTATCGTTGCAATCCTCTTGCCGCTCGACTTGTCGGCCAGGTAACGACAAGAGTATGTAGTGGTGGTAATCATCAGGAAGGCGGGATTCGTTACCAGTGCTGTTGCTGCTACTGCTACTACTGTGTCACTAAGTTACTAAGTTACTTACTAGTTCCTTCCTTACTTACTTACTTATTTACTTACTTACTTACCTACCTACCCACCTACCTACCTACCTACCTACCTACTTACTTACTTGCTTACGTACGTTTTTTAGCACTTACTTACTTGCTACCTAACTACCTAACTGCCTAACTGCCTAACTACCTAACTACCTGACTACCTAACTACCTAACTAACTAACCAACCAACCAACCAACTAACTAACAAACTAACTAGCTAGCTAGCTAGCTAGCTAACCACCACCACCACCACCACCACCACGAATGCAGCTGCGACAGCGGCCACGACTCCGACTACTGACTACTGACTACTGCTCCGGCTCCGGATCCGGCTCCGGCTACTGCTGCTGCCACTGCCACTGCCGCTGCGAGTGCGAGCGCTAGTGCTAGTTCTACTACACCTGCTGCTCCTCCTGCTGCTGCTGCTGCTGCTACTACTCTTACTGCTGCTGCTGCTGCAACTCAGGTACTTCCTGCCTGCAAGGCCGTCCATGCGAAAAAGCTACAAACACAACAAGCGGAAGCCCAAGCCACAGAATCGGGAGCCCCAAAAATCTCGCGAGCCTCAGCGCTGCAAAAAAGATTCAAAGCTACGGGTTGGAGAGGCCACGCCATGTATCGTTGTAACTTACTGCGACAAACGTGTCAACACTCTTACGGCTATTACGAGCACTTGCTCTGTTTGTATAGATTCGGTCATAGGTGGCAACAGTTGGTTCGCATCATTCAGGTGATGACGGCCTTCAGTACATTTGTCGCACTGGGGAGGTGTTAGGGGTTAGGGCCGGTTAGGGCGGCACAGGCATACCCCGAGTGTTCGGAGCTGCCACCCTGAACCCTCAAACACTCTCCGACCCTGAAACCGCCCTGAGCCCGAAACCAAGCAAGCAGACACCGTTATGGAATGCAGCCTCGATAGGCTTTCGATTGATTTAGACAAACGTGTTGGAGGCTTAAGTGCAATGGCCTTGGGATTTTAGGGCCGCAGTACTGCGCTCGGTATGGCCTTCGCTTATTTTCGTGCTCAACCATCACGAAAGTACGACTTGTGGAGTGCCAGGGAATCTTCAAAGCTGTGTTTATCAGTCTAGATGTTTTGAGGTTCTGGACGTGACGTCTTAGCTTTTAAGGGGGTTAGAAGTTTCCAATCTCAAAACGAGCGAAACCCCGCAGTGGCACAGGGAGATGCTGTGTAATTTCCCTTGACAAGTGACATTGAATCTTCTAAAGCACCGTTTTCCCTAAACACCAAACAACAGCATTGTAATCACCCTTAGAAAATCCTCGTGGAACCCCTGATAGTAATGACTTTAAACGACTTCTCACGCCAAGGAGACATCCTTCTCGCCCACCAGCTTTGCCATTTCCTAGCACTTTGGGCTGGTGGGTTTTCGACGGTGTTACAAGTTTACAGTGAACTCTAGAAACGTGGAACCCACAGTAGTAGTAAGGATTAGTTGCTGGGATTCCCCATGCTTTACCTGAACAGCATCAGGATAAGGATGCTTCAACTTTCGGGCTTCCACTTGGCCGGTTTAGGGTTACTAGGGGCACCTCGGGGCTGAAGCGAACTGAGGCTTCGTGACGGCCGAACTCGAGTTCGGCATGTTTCGAAAAGCATGTCTTCGCAACACCAGCGCCAAGCGCTGACCCTAAACCTATTGCCGGGACTGGGTAGTCTTCCGGTCTGCAACTTATCGAAGAAGCAGTGAGGGTTTAGGGCTGCAACAACACCCCTAGTCTGTCCGACGAAATGCTGCTGTGTGGGATGCTCGGGAAGCTGACGCACCAGCAGCGGCAACATAGTTCATTTTGAGAGCTGCACGACATGCTGGCGAGCTCTAGAGGTTCATGTTGGTGAGTTGTGAGGCTGTGCTAGCCGCTCATGCTTCGCCCTTCCTTAAACATTGCGACCTGATGTCGCCGGTTGCGGAAGTTCGATTCTAGACAGACCCGGGCCAGCTAAACCCGAACATAAGATAAATACATCCATGAGCATTGACAAGCAGAGATAGATAACTGGGTAGATATATGGATAGCTGGATAGGTTGGAAGACACATAGACAGATAAATAAACATTTGGTGGATATCGAGTTATGTAGGGAACTAGACTAGTTGTCCAGCTTAGGTAGGTAGGCAGGCAGGCAGGCAGGCAGGCAGGCAAACAGGCAGCACGCACGCAGGCAGGTGAGTCGTTGGTAAGTCTGTGAGCAGGCAGGCAGGCAGGCAGGCAGGCAGGCAGGCAGGCAGGCAGGCAGGCAGCAGGTAGGTAGGTAGGTAGGTAGAGAGAGAGACACAAACAAATAGATAGATAGGTAGGTAGATAAGTAGATAGGTAGATAGGTGGGTGTCCGTTTGGCCATCGGTCGTGCGCGGGTTGCCTTTACCTTCGTTTCCAAGTCAAGGGCCAAATTCATCAGCAAGGCTGCCTGCATCGCCGATTTGGTGGCTTGGGGTTTGGATGGGTTTGACTAACTTAGAGGGGTTTTGGGGGCCCAAGGGTTTGAGGGTGGGTCTGGGTCTGGGTGGGCTTGGCTTAGAAGGGTGGTTTTGGGGGTGGGGTTGGGTGGGCTTGACTATCTTGGAAGGGGTTTTGGGGGGTCCGAGCATTTGCCAGTAGACGGGTTTATGAGAGTTCGGTATGTGCGGGGGGGGGGGGCTTCGGGAGAACTGTCCAGGCGGGGTATTGTTGTTCTTAAGTCGCAGGATTTAGGGCAGGGGCCTTGGGGTTTAGGTGGGCTTAAGTAGACCGGTTTAGGAGCGCTCAGTTGGTTTAGGGTGAAATTCAGGGTTCCTTTCAGGGAACTAGAAGTTCTAGATGGGTACGAATGACAATTTAGGACACACACACAGACAGACGCACAGACACAGACAGACGCACAGACACACAGATAGACACACAGGCGATCAGGAAGGCAGACAGAGAGACAGAGACAGACAGACAGACAGACAGACAGACAGACAGACAGACAGATAAGCAGATAGGCAGATAGATAGATAGATAGATAGATAGTTGCGTAGATAGATGCGTGACAGATGCATAGATTGGTATGTGGATCTTTTCATAGAGAACAAGTGATGAAGAGATGGAGATATAGAGATACACGCACATAGGTACGTGGGCATATTACCTGCCTATGTCATGTTTCAACATTCAACCTTTATAACTTGTGCATTGAGAATTTGGGGGCATACGCCCTTCGGATTCAGGGCATCGGTGCAGAAGTCAGGCCGGGCAGCTCCCAAACCAAAATCCCCAAAGCAGCTTGCCCTGAAGCCCAGGCCTTCATCTTCCTGGGTCCCTGTTGGATACAATTTTACATTTTTGTTACAACAAAACCCTAATAGGGCTCAAAAATGATCCTTTTTTTTTTAATATGGCCCCAAAAGGGAACCAGCTTTCCTGCCAAAGCGCACCCCCCCCCCCCCCCAACGGATAGCAACCCCTGCGTGCTTTTAGGAGCCCCTTGGATCCCTAAAGCCCTGAAGCCCATCTCCCGGCCTTAAAATCCTAAACCCATATAGGCTCCTTAGTAGTTCCTTTTTGGGATTACCTTATAGGATTCGAAGTATGAACCACAAAAAGGAACTACTTAGGAGCCTATGGGTAATGATGTTCTGAGACTGCCAGGCCCCGACCCCACGGACGCCTTCCTGCAGCTGGTGGATCGGGCGAAGACACTCCTGGCACTCCTCAGGTGGGGACTTCACCCCTTTAATAACCGGGGTTTTTTAAGGGTTTCTGGACCTTAAGGGTTTAGGGTTTCAGGGTTTCTGGACCTTAAGGGTTTAGGGTTTCTGGATTTCTGGACCTTAAGGGTTTAAGGTTTTAGGGTTTCTGGACTGTAAACCTATAGGGTTTAGACTTCCGGACGAAGTATTCGCGATGTAGGGAAGCAATCCGAGGCAACCGGGGACACGTCAGATAAGGTTTTGTAGGCTCCTTGACAGTTCTTGTAAACCGTCTTGATAGGGTTCGCGGCAAAGGTTACGAGGTGCAGTAAGTCGAGTTGCGCAACCCTAAACCCCAAACCCCAAAACTTAAAACCCTAAACCCTAAGCCCTAAGCCGTCAGTCTAGGTGTTATTGCCAGGCTAAGTCGTAATGTGCAACCACTTCTGCCACGGTGTAGGTCGAGGCCCCCTCTGCATGATCTTGGGCTCAACGTTTTGGTTGCTTTTTTTAGTGTTCAAAGTTGAAGATATTTCGGGATGGATAAGGTTTTCAGAGTGGGGAGCCTCCGGGCTCTTCCCAAAACTACTAGGAACCTCA